TATCTATCTATCTATCTATCTATCTATCTATCTATCTATCTATCTATATATCTATATATCTATATATATATCTATATATATATATATCTACATATATATCTACATATATATCTACATATATATCTACATATATAGTATATATATAGATATACTATATGTATACTATATAAAGGCGCAGATCATGTCTGAATCTGTATTGTACTAACGTGCATGTTACTTTTTAGTCAGGCCTGTTAGTGGGAGTCCCAGGCATGCTCAGCGGAATGCATCAGGCACACCAACTTTACGGGAGGTACGCGTTTATTAATATTCTGAATTTTATCTGCATACAGGCACGTAATAGCTGTTGTCATGACCCTGGTTTCTGGACCTTCTGCAGTTCTTTCTTCTTTTATACAGGGCGTCTGAAAAAAATTGACATTATTTAAAATGTAACCATATGGACCAGGCAAACAAAATTAAATAGGCTTTATGTTGAACAACAAACGATTTATTGATTAATATTCAAACAAGAGCTCCTGTAGGATGTACGTTCTTTTTACCTGATTTCTCAAAGCTTCACAAAAGTTCACTGTGCTTGTGACACAACATATGCAAAGTCAGCTAGTCACGTTCCAACACCTTTTCATTTTTAGTGATTGTCGTTCTTCACTTTATTAAAACAAAAGGAAAAAAGAAAAGGTTTTGTACATTTTGTTAAAAGTTTAAATCATTTGGCTATGTTACTAGACTACCAAATGTTTTTGGAAGTCCTTTATTATTTTAATTAACTTTGTCACCCTTCCTTGTTTGTAAATTTCCTTAATGTAATATGCCAGTTTATGCATTGCTTTCCAATGTTTTATTAAAACAACATCAAAGGCTTAATTTAAAACCAAATGCTCAGGTTTAAATACTTAAGGTGTAAGTGAAAGTACGGTCGATGTGACTTCTGAGTGGAAAAAGTCCTTTCTTCTAGTACAGTTGTTGAGTTGTATTTATCCATTGTCTTACTCTAGGTGCCTACTGCCTACGTGCTTCAGAGGCACATACTTGGCAAAAAACTAATTGGATACTATGATTCGTGTAAAATAATGTTTAGTTTTTAAGTGTTTGTTTCAACAAAGATGAATTTACACATTCTTTGTTTCTCTAGGTTACCGTGGAAAAACGTGGTTTCCATGGCAGCAGATGTGGCCAAAAATGGATTTAATGTTACTCATGACTTGGGTAATTGTAGATTATTATTTCTTCAGAGACTGAGCCAAGCCACCATCTTTAATTACAAACACAGCAGCATTTTCTCCAAGCCTCTCTGTTGCTTTAATTAAAATAAAATCATACTAACTTACAGTATTTCCACTTTTGTTACTCTTCTAAATCTCCTGTTTCTCTACAGCTGAAGCGCTGTCTAAAATGAAGAACCAAAGCATGTCTGCTGCATTTCGGGATTTGTTCCTCCCCAATGGCCAGGCCCCCCTCTCTGGACTGTTCACCCGACGCATTGACTTAGCTGCCATTTTGGATGCTGTTGCAGTCAAAGGAGTATCTGAGTTCTACAGTGGGAATCTGGCACAAGAAATGGTGGCCGCAGTAAGAAAATATGTTTTTACTCTTAATTTTACAAGAAGTCATGAATTCTGCATCGTCTCTATGTCAAGTCAGATTTAACCTGCAAACACAATGTCATTTTACTTACACTGTAGGATTTATATTTGTTATAAACTAACTTTCACCAATGCAATACTCTAGATAAGTCTAAATATTTAATAAAAAACACATTACTATGTGTAAAACCGTAATCTTGAAATAGCAATTCTGGTTCAAATTCGAGATATTGTTATATGCAATTTATCATATCATTTGCACCTTACTAGGCCTGTTGCAATAAACAATAAATCAACTAATCGCATGATAAATGAAAATTATCAACCTCATTTTCATTTATCGGCTTTATCGTTTCTTTGAGTCTCTCTTTCTACCGAAGACACTGGATGACAAAAGGCTCAACTCCGTTGCTCTTCACTGACTCCTGCCTTTCTCTTTTCTCTTTAAAATACATTTTAACCATCCAAAATTGTGTTTCTGGATTGTTAAAAGCAGCTAAGCTGAGAAGCTAAGCTACGAGCTAAACTAACAGGCCGACCTCGGGGAAAAAACCTCTGTCTTGTCGAAGCTCCAAAATTCACGGTTGAAACCAGTGCCTTTGTGTAAAAAGTTGTTTTTCTCTGCAAAAAGAAGATGAGAACTTGTTTACTTTTTTTTTTAAATTAAAATATTTGTGTGGAAAATGCTATGCTAAAGAGCTCAAACCACACCGAGAGTCCGCCATTTTGAGATCTGAAGAGAGACAGCCCATGTCACGTCAAGGGGCCTCCCTCCCATTTTTCTTAGAGACACGCTGCTAGCTCCCTCACTATCCATCCTTCGGTTCAAACAGTCTAATACTGCCATCTGGTGGTCGAAAAAAGGTACTGCACGCAAAACAAATTTAAACATTTCTTCTTATATTTGACAATAATTACTAATTATTGTCAAATTTCAACTAATATTATCGTTTATCGCAATAATTTCTGACACTTAATCGCCCAGCAAAATTTGTTATCGTGACAGGCCTACTCATTACGCTTGTAGAAGGTGTGCAAATAAAAGATTAAGTTAGTCTGAAGAGAAATGTAGCTTCATTGTGACCAATTCCCTTGAATCATTGGAGCAAAACAAAATACTTTCTAGGAATACGTTTCACTTTCTAACACTTACTCGCCAATGCTGGATATAATGTAGACAGTGTGGAAAGCAATGCAAGCAGTCAACAGGATTTAGATGACTGTGTAGAAAAGGACACTTTCGATGTAAACACAAGTAAAGCACTTCTTTTTTATGGCATGAGGTAAACAAGTGCTAAGATTTAAAAATAGCTTATTTAAAATCAGAGATTATTACTGTTGTAACTACAGAACCTTTTGGGAAACATTTATTTCCAGTAATGCAAACAGTTGTCAGCTTGTTCAGCTTGAGCAGCTTCTGCTTCTACTGCGAGTTTTTTTTATCTGCTTCAGTCATTTCATCCTAGGTGTGTTCTTCTCCATCAGATGCACAGCTGGGGAGAAAACAAAAGGCTGCTCTTAAGTATTTATATAAGAACCAATATATTGTGCTTAAGAGAGATAACAGTAGCTGGGCTTACAGGCATTGAGCAAATGTACACAAAAATACATGAAAAAGTTGACAAGAAGATTTTTTTTTTCATCTATTGTCTGTTCAAGGCTGTTCAAGACAGGAACAACTGCTATTTTATTTGTGACATAGAAGCTGAGTGGGAGTATCAAAGATGTTTTTAAGCCAACAGTAGATGTAGCTACAGAGATGACTCAACACCAGGATCACAGCTTTCTTATCAGTAATGCATTGTCACTCAGCTGATTCAATAAAACTTCCCTACTGTTTAAACAGTGATGTGGTGCTAGGCTGCCTCTGTTTTGTTAAATTATTTCTGTTAAAGCAGCTAAATGCTCTAAAAGATGGACCTGTGTTAGCCCACAGCTAATGCTGTGTTGTTTTGTGCAAACACTGGTTACACCTTGTTCCTGATTATTTTCCTTGAAAACTTGCCCACCCCGCTTTGTGAGGTAAGAGGATAGGCACATGAAAACCTGGCAGTTATGGTTAGGGACTCTCTGTACTACGGTTCAAATAGGCGATGCTCATGCATATTTATTTTAATCACTTCTTTCACTGATAAGCATCAAAAATTCAACATGAAAATAACCAGTTTGTACACAGGCTAAAAATCTGAAAAATGTATTTATTTCTTTTAACAGGCGCAAGAAAGAGGAGGCGTGCTCACAGAAGATGACTTTAGAAACTACAGCACAGTCCTAGAAAAGCCAGCAGAAACCACCTATCAGGGTGCGTGTTCAGTAAGAATTAATGTCAGAGTCGTTACAGAAACGCCTCTAATCTGCTTAAGGACCACAGTTGGGCTGGATCACTTGTCTGATTAATTATTAGCCTTACGTCTTTAATTTGACAGAAAGGAAAACTGTACAAACATTACATATCTGGATACTTTGCTCTTTCTAGCCAATTAAATTCATATTACCCTCATTGTATGTATTTACCGGTAAATGTTTGTACATCTGACGATATAATTTGCACACTTAGTGTAATATCAGAAACCTTAAAAAATACTATTTGACATACAGTTTTTATAGGTTATTGTTTTGCTTTTATTGTATGAAATGGATTATGTAGTTTGTTTTGTATGTGTTGGAGGGTCCGATTCTCAGGCCAGGTTACATAAATCAAATGTATAATGTACTACTTTACTTGGAAAAAATCATAAGCATACTGACATAAATTATGTTTAGTCTGCATTAGACAATAACCAACAGTTGTTTCCAACAGTTTACTGTGAGTTTTTGCTTTACCAATTATTATTACGTTTTTTGTTTGAAGGATACCATGTAATGGCTTCTCCAGCCCCACATGCAGGTGTTGCCTTGATCACTGCACTCAATATCCTTGAAGGCTACAATATTACAAACCAAGTGCCCAGAAATGGCACCTACCATCGCATCGCAGAGGTAATTAAATGACTGTTTCACCACTGCACCATACAGCAAATGGTGTACACAATATAATTATTTTAGTTTTTACATTGATAAAAACCTTCCAGGCTTTGAAGATAGCATTGGCCCTGGCTAGTGGGCTAGGAGACCCTTTATATGACACCTCTGTCTCAGAAATTGTTGCAACAATGCTAAGGTAAGAGTTACTCCACCTTCAAAAAGTGATGTCAAATGTAGAAGCATCGATCTGTCCCATTTCATTAAGACATTGACATAAAATCCTGCTCTTTGGTATTCCCTTCTTCTAGTAAATCACAGGCTTTCCTGTTCCGCCAGATGATCAACGACTCTATGGCGTTCCCTGTAAACCACTACACTTCAGCCTTTACCCTGGAGGATGGTGCAACAGCTGCTCAGGTCATGGTCATGGGTCCAGACGACCATGTTGTATCAGTCCAGAGGTATCTAATGTTTAAACTTAATGGCAAGTTGTTTAACAAAATTCAGGATACCGTTCAAAGTTGAATAAAGTCACATGAAAACATAGATTTTTGTTATTTTTGTTTTAGTTCACTGAACAAACCTTTTGGCAGTGGGATAGTGACTTCTTCAGGAATCCTTTTGAACGGCCAGATTCTGGACTTTTCCTGGCCTAATAAAACTCAGAACTTCTCGCCCGACCCGGTAATCATCTTCATCTTTATTTAACTGATTTATTTTGATGGATTGTTTTTGTAGCTATCTTCTTTTTTTTTGTTGCTGTAGCATAACGGTGTTCAGGCTGGAAAAAGACCCAGGTCCTTCCTGATGCCCACAGCAGTACGGCCTGCTATGGGAGTGTGTGGCACATATGTAGCTGTTGGGTCATCCAATGGAGCAAAAGCTCTCAGTGGCATCGCTCAGGTTAATTATTAATTTACCAATATTAATTACTATAGACATATGGAAATGAGGCTTGTACTGTCAATTTACATCTCAACTTTGTCCCCAGAATTACCTCATTATTGTTTAGATGTCAAATGTCTCCTTTTGATTCTACACAGGTACTGATCAATGTTCTGTCTTCACGTAAAAACATGAGTGACACTTTAGCGTATGGACGACTCCACCCTCAGCTGGAGCCCAACACACTCCTGGTGGACTGTGAGTTTTTCCTTCTAGCTCCTCTCTTGTTGGGTTCAATCTAAACATTATGACACTATTTCATTTTTAATGGCTGTGCCAAACTTTATTTATTGTGTTCAGAGCTTTTTTTATTTTTGTTATAATTGTTTTTTTTGTCTTGGTCAAGTTAATTTAAATTGCTTTCAAAACCATAAAGAAAACAGAAATAATAAAAGAATAGTTCTAATTTGGAAGTGGGGGTGTACAGAGTAGTTATGAGTAGTAGTCAATATCTTACATGCAGTTGATAGCAGTCAGATTGATCTTGTTTTGAGGAATCAAATAGAAATTATTGTTTTTAATATTTAATTTAATCAGTATTCTGTGTTAAAATATACTGTAGAGTACAACATTTACTTGGATAACTTGCTTAGATGATGGACATTCATTTTGATTTTACCTTTTTGTTAGCTACTAATGCACATGCTCAAAGTTAGTATTTTGCAATGCATTGTGGAATATATAGATTTTTTTTCATTGAACCTTCATTTATACAGGTTAGTCTCATTGAGCCTCGAGGACTCATTTACAAGAGAGACCTGCTTTTAACAAAGAACACAGATGACAACAGTAGACAATCATAAAAAAGCATATACAATGAAAAGTAAATGATAAAAGTAAAAAAAGAAACAAAAACAGTTAATATAAATGCCTACATTCTGTCCTTTACCATTTAAATGACTTTTATTTGTTGTTGTCATACAATTTTTATTGTCACTGATGATGATAACCACCTTATCCAATGGAAAAAAATCACAATTATTCTTAAATTTAATGTTTCAACTTTGTGTTCACTTTTATCAACGGTTGGCTTGGATCCACCCTCAGTCTAAACAGTGTCCATACCTACTTGTTTCAGCTGTGCTCCGCTGTCATTCATCTTGACACCTGGCAATATTGCAACATAAAATACAGAGAAAACCAATTTATAGTTACATTTTTATATAAAAGTCCATCAAAAAAGTAGGTGTAATAAGCTTTAAGAAACTCACTGCTCATAGGTGTGCCATACACACAACCCAACTTGGGGGAAAAAAAATATGTAGGAAGTCATTCAGTCTTTATTAAAGGGGTCATAAATTATTTTCTGTTATGAATAATGGGTTTAGAAGCAGAATTTTCTCTGATTTGACGACAAAACTCAATTCCACTGTTCTACTGAACACATGCAATGTTAACTTTAAATCAAGTGGCTTTTAAACCCCAAAATACATTAAGGCAAAGACTGGTTCATCCCAAAGATCCAGTCCCCCGGCACAAACAGAGTAATGTTGTGTATGCTGTTCAGTGTCAGGAGGGCTGTGATCAGTCTTACATCAGGGAAACTAAACAGCCACTGGTCAAAAGGATGGACCAGCACAGAAGATCAACATCATCAGGTCAGGACTCTGCAGTCTACACTCATCTCCAGGCCAGCTGTCACTCTTTCAGGGATGAAGATGTTCACATCCTGGATAGAGAGGAAGGATGGTTTGAGAGAGGAGTAAAGGAGGCCATCTTTGTGTAAAGAAACTGTCCATCATTAAACTGGGGTGGAGGCCTCCGGGTTCAACTGTCCCCCTCTTACAATGCTGTGATTGCTAGTATCACTCAGCCCTCTGTGAATAGTAAACAGCCATCAGTGTGCTAATGATCCATTGTTAGGCTGATGGTCCTTCTTGAGCATGTGATCAGCTGGTTTTGGTTGTCAGCAGCAAAACTGGTTGATCCTCTCTGAGAAGGTGCTATTTAAGAGACTGAGCTGAAAACAGCACCTCAGACTGAGGAAGTCTCTCGGATGAAAGATGAAACGTTTCTACATTTTTTTGTTGTTGTTTTGCTTTGTTTTGTTTTTTGAATGTCCAGAGGACCAGATTTAACTTTTTTAGATTTTTCTACCTGGATTATTGAGCATGCATCAGGAGGTAGTGTTCAATATTTTCCATGTCAGAATGAATGAAATCGTCAGATCTCAGACAAAAATTGGGTCATAAATATGAGGGGAAAAAAACATAAATAAGTCGCTTTGCTGTATTAGTCGCAGGGCATGCTAATTTATGCAAAAAGGTGTGACTTGTGCAGCAAAAAGTACAGTAATGTTGATCTGGTCATCCTCTGTAGTGAGAAGAATAGGATCTTACTGACTCTTAAGTGCTAAATTGAGCATTTTTGTTAGTTGTGGACACAACATGCAGATAATGCACTCTATTTAAACATGCTGGGATCACCACCCTTGCTATGTGAACACTTGAGTTACATTTGAATGACATGTTAAAAGAAAGTTTGAACATGCATTTCTTCTCTTTTTGTCCTGCACATCTTCTACAGCTGAGTTCTTAGAGGACGACGTGAAGCTGCTGCAGGCCAAAGGACACAAAGTTGAGAAGATGGATGTCCTTTCACTGGTGGAGGGCACACAGAGAACCAATGACCTCATCATGGGGGTAAAGGACCCCCGTAGTGCTGACGCCTCAGCTCTTACTATGTCTAACATGCCTTAGTGTGTTGCTTCTTCTGATATTTGCTCATATTATGGCAGGGGATAAATCTAGTAGCTTATTGAAGAAGGGAAAATAAGGCTGCACCAAAGAAATAAGCTCAGCAGGACTGAGCAAGTGCTGTTTATTTAAGATCAAAATGAGCAAAACACATTCAGCTTTCTCTGGGCTGACATGATAGAAGCCTTTGTGATTTGCTCACATTAAATATTAGAAAGCAACACTACTTCAAATACAGCACATCTTCTTACTGTGCAGCCACAATGTGAAATGTTTTAAGTCCATCTCAGCTGTTGTTTTTAAGTCCGCTGTTTGTATTGTGCTGAGCTGGACACAGAAATGAAAGATTTTGTTTTCCAGTTCACTTTAGAGAGAAACAGACTTATAAGAGAGCTTTCACCTTTTTTAATGTGAAGGGGAAACAAAAGAAATATAAACAGGAATGTCTATTAATGCTTTTTTTTCCTGAGATTCTGTGGAGCACTTTGCTCTACTGATGTACAGTAAAGAGTTTAGAGGAAAACTACTGAGGAATAAATTGACTCATTCCAAAGATTTGCCTTTAGAAAATTAAAATGCCAAACTGGTAAGTATCATTAATGGCAAAGGCATGATGTGCAGCATGTTTTATCCAGCTTTATTACCTTTTCAGCTGCATTTCTTTTGGAATAACAAATAGTTCAGAGCATCAGAATCAAACCTTTGCTTCAGTATATTTGGACAAGATGATCCTAAAGTGAACACGTAAGCTACCTGCTCTTTATATGGCATATAAGTGTGATTAGATGTTGTTTGATACAGCTGCTGGAGCTTTAGCTGTTGTAATCAATCATCGATGTAGTGGGACTGCGTTTAAACACACTGGCACAAAACACTGAAATGTGATTAGAAATGTGCATCACACCTCAGTTTATTTTGTTTAGCAAGATCCTTATATTGATTTCAAAGAGTTTTAGAAACTGATAATTATGTTCAGTGGTTGTATTTAAATGCAGAGTTTTAATAATTTAATGATCTGTATTATTTAGTTTTTATTTTTAGTATGTGAATTAAGTTTTTTTTTTTTTTTTTTTTAGATGGGGGTTGTGCTTTCTCTAGGAAGAGGAATAACTGGATTTTTACAAAAATAATTTATTGTTCTATTTTTATGAATATTTTCTTGACTGCATGTGTTATTTACTTACACGTAAAGCTGTGCATCAGTAAGTGCACCTTAGAAAATGATGTCATGTTTATTTTGGTGCACTAGTGTTTTAGATTGTAGTAAAAAGAGCAAACAACCTCTTGTAGACTTTTTTGTTAAAATTAATTTCTTGTTCCAAATGATCAAATAAATTCTTAATTTTAAAATTATTCGTGCTTGTCTTTTGGTGTTTTTGCTGTAGAGTGCTCTACCTTGAAGCACGTTAGTTAGCACAATACTTAAAGTCAGATTCCTTTGTGCTTTGATCATTCCTGCACTGTTCAAATCCAGAAAAAAATATATTTGCACACATTTAATAATAAAGAATGAACCATCTTTTGTTTTACATCCTGTTTTTCTCCTAAACACATAAAACAATGCACTGAAGACAAGGGACACCACAACAAGAAAATACCAGACTAAAACTTGTTACCAGTGTTATTAATCACACACGATTAATCAGTTGTGCAATAATGTGTTATTAATTAACACATGATTAATAACAAAGGCTGATACGGGATTAACATTTGTTATAAGGCCAAAATAGAGAGAGAGAAAAAAGTATGATTTGTTAATTACAGGTGTGTGTTTGCATGTCATCATGACTATATGACACAATTAGGTGAAAAAAGGTTTCTAGTGAATAGTAATAATAAACAGAATTTGCAAGCATTTACACCAATCTATAATTATTTAGTCAGAGTCAGAGTTTCTTTTTTGTCATTCGCACCTCATGTGGTACATGTGGTGGAGCGAAATTATGTACGCAGGGTCCCAGTTACATCCAACAATGTTAATGTTTACAATCCCACTGCAGCAACCACAAATAATAATTTAGTTGTTCTGTTAAAGCAAATAGCTTTGTTCATATGATATCAGTTGTATTTCATTCTGTTGACTATTTCAATGTCTTTTGTTAAAAAGTCTTGATATTCATTTTGATAATGAGTTAACCATTTTCAACCATTTAGTTAATTAGAATTTTATTTTGAAAAGCTGAACCGGAAGCAGCATCTTTGTTCTAACTCCGTGTGAAATTCATGTAATGTTAGCCTGACTAGCAAGCTGATTTCGACTGGTTGGAAATACTTTTAGATGAATATGTTTGGTAAGGTGTTTGCTTTTTAATCATGATGATATTTAGGAAGTTTAACTAAATTAAATCGTAAGCTAAGACTCGCTGCTTGGATGCGTTCGGGTTTGATTACCGGCTGTGCTAGCGGTAGCTACATAGCTAATATTTGCTAACTGGAGTTGTCGGACAGAAGCCAGCAGGAACTGCTTTGACGTTAATTTTGATCTCCTTCCATTGTGCTGTTGAAGTCGTTTAAATATCATGTTTGGACACTTTTTGCATCAGCATGAACATGCATAATTACACAAGGAACATGAATGTTCTGGGATCATTTTGTTGGCTTGAGTGTTAGCTTCAGTTTTTGTTGAGGCCCGTAGTCTTGCCGGGCCGTTGACTTAACCAAGTTAACCATCGTTTATTGAAATACATTTATATGTAAAATTAACTGGCATTAAAAAAGGCACACGCTAATTAAAATGTCGTGACTACCATCCACAACACCTGTAATCCTTCAATACTTTTGCTATGTAAGCAGATCATCACTGGTCAAATATGTCACCTCCAGTTATTAGTTGTGTGTCTCACTGTTTATTATTACGGCCTTATAAGTGTTTTGTGTAGTTTAAAATGAAAGATTAATTTATTTGTTAACCTATTTTATCTCACTTGAATTGTGCAGAATAGATATTTAAGTTTCTGACATTCATTAGTTGGCTGACCACTTTGTCATCATGTTTCTTGTGGTGCCTTGTATTTGTAATTAATTTTAGTCTGTGTAATGTGTGATTACAGCATAAAACCATTCAGACGCCACTCCTAACTCGTGGGGAGGATGGCTCACCAACATTCCCCACCTGAGATGTCCCAGAAGACTGATCTCCTGGAACCTGATAATGAATCAGACGGGGATTCTGGTGTTGGGGAAGATGCAGGAGAAGATGCTGATACTTGCAATCAATGCAGTGTAGCTGAAGAAGATAAAGACTTAGAGATGGATAGTATGAAAGAGAGTGATGGGGAGTATGAAGACTTCACAGTGTTTGTTGCCTTTCAAGGGAACATGGAAGATGAGGACTTCTCTCAAAAACTTGACACTGTCCTTAGTGGGATACCTAACATGCTTAATTTGGGTTAGTTTTCTTTTACGTTTTAAATTATCCTTTTGTATAACTGTGTATTAACAATGATAAACTTTCCTATTGCTTTTATCAGTAACATTTAACAAGGGAAATTGAAAGTGAATATGTAGAAATGCTGTAAATAATAATGAAAACTCAAACACTCCTCACAAATGTCTTGCACTGGTCTTCCTTTCTAGCATTTTTTTAACCTACAGGTTTCTTAGAAAAATGCAGTGAGGCAGTATTGAATTAGTTGCAAAACCAACTGTGTTCATCAAATTATTGTCTTTCAGACTCTGAGCGGCTGCAGCCACAACATGTGGAGCCATGGAACAGTGTCCGTGTTACCTTCAACATTCCTCGAGATGCTGCTGAGCGACTCAGACTACTGGCCCAGAACAATCAGCAGCAGCTCAGAGACCTGGGTATTCTTTCTGTTCAAATAGAAGGTAAACGACATGCACTAGGCAGAATTTATTCCTTCACTTATTAATTCGTTCATTCATTCATTCATTCATTTTGTCTGTTGCACCTCAAATGTATTTGATGTATTAATATCATTTTCATCTTTGTGTTCAGGAGAGGGAGCAATTAATGTGGCTGTGGGACCAAATAGAGCACAAGAAGTCAGAGTGAATGGACCAATAGTTGCACCTGGTCAGATGAGAATGGATGGTGGCTTTCCAGGTCAGACTGGTCTAGGTATCTGATTGCTGAATTTAACTCAAATTACTACAGACTCTTCTTTATGGATAATTATTTTCTAGCTATCAGAACCAGTTTTAGATAAAGAAGTGAAATGTGTTGCTTGCCTCTTTTTGTAATCTAGCTTTCGTCATTTATTATATTTTTTGTTCCTATTAATTATTAGTTACTTGATAACATTTGTCATGAGCTTATTTATGAGTAGTTAATCAATATACATTTATGTCAACAAGGAGGGGTAAGGATGACCAATCCATCTATGGTTCCCCCTGGCCCTGGCATGGTGGGTCAAGCTATGTTACCAGGCAGTAGTGGACAAATGCATCCTCGTGTTCAAAGGCCACCATCGCAAACAGGTCTAAATTATATTTTATTTTTTACATATCAATTTGATTACAAAAAATGATAAAATCATAGCTTTGAGAGGACAGTAATAGATGCACCATTCCTTCTGTACTCACAGATGTGATGGATCCTATGATGCCAGTTATGTCCGTTCAGCAGCAGCAGCAACACCAACTTCAACACCAACAGGTTGCTCCCCATGGTTCAGGCTCCATGTCTTCTCAAGCTGCCCATCACATGCAGGCTCTGCAGGGAGGGAGACCACTCAACCCAGCTGCACTGCAGCAGCTACAGCAACAGCATCACCAACAGCAGCAGGTCCAGCAGCAAGTTCAGCTCTCCCAGCTTGGACCCAGACCTCCGTTCAACCCTTCGGGCCAAATGGCTGCACCTCCTGGCTGGAATCAGTTACCATCTGGTGTACTTCAGCCACCAGTGGCTCAGGGAGGTCCTGCATGGAGAAAACTTCCACCCCAAGGTCAAATGGTTCAGCGCCCACCTTCTCTAGCTACAGTTCAGACCCCCAATCATCCCCCACCCCCATATCCATTTGGCAGCCAGCAGGCAGGACAATTATTTAATGTCATGGGCCAAGGACAGTTACAGCAGCAACAACAGGCAGGGATGGGTCAGTTTGCTGCTCCCCAACCTAAAGGCCAACAAGCTGGCCCCAGTGGGGTCACTGGACCACCCAGACCCCCACCGCCTCTTCCATCAACTTCTGGACCACAGGGCAACCTCACTGCCAAGTCCCCTGGATCATCCTCGTCTCCTTTCCAGCAGGGATCTCCAGGGACGCCTCCCATGATGGCTCAGAGACCTACCACTCCACAGGGTTTCCCTCAGGGTGTTGGCTCACCAGGTAGAGCAGCCCTCGGCCAGCAGGGTAACATGCAGCAAGGATTCATGGGAATGCCCCAGCATGGACAGCCTGGGGCTCAAGTTCACCCAGGTGAGTAGTTATTAGTGCCTATGTTTTATTTAATTGATATTCCAATCAGATAAAGTTTTGTTTTCTGGTCATTGCAAATGGTCAAGTGAAAATTATAATGTGAAATATATTCTTGTTTTATCAATATTACTAACACTGATTGCAGGTATGGCAAAGCGTCCTATGGGCTTTCCAACTCCGAACTTTGTCCAGGGTCAGGTGAGTGCAAACACCCAAGGAACCTCTGCTGGTGGAGCAACTCAACAGCTACAGAACAACCCAGCAATGGCTCACACAGGTAAAGTGTGACACAGCAGATGTGTAGTTTTGTTTTAACATTACCGTTGTATTGATCTACAATGTACTGTATTACATTTAGGCGAAAATACAATACATTGTTTGTCATGTATAAGAAATGTGGGAATGCTTCAGAATGGCTTATTTTTTCCTTGAGTGTGAAGTGTAAATAAATTGTCAGGAAAACAATATACAGTATGTGGTTGGATTAATATTTAAGCACGAATACTATCTTTAGCATTGTAGTCTTCAACCACCAGTAAATTTTTGTTTTCCTTGAAAGAAGCTAGACCGTAAACCTTTCAAAGTGGTTTTGAGCAGTAGTTCTTCAGACTTTTTTGAAAATTTCTGCCTTTGGCTTTCGGCTGTTATTTTTCACTCCTTTTCAGTCCAGTTCCTGTACATAAACATTTAGCTTTTTTCGGTATTCCATGCTTTAAAGACATTTAAAAAAATCCATGAAAAATGGACAAGTTCAAGACAAAATACAATGCTGATTGTCTAAAAAAACTCTAGGTGTCTTTCTCAAGGACACCATGACGTGGGCATGGCGGGGAGTTGAGCCTGCGACTTTCTGGTTCCAAGTCAGCTGCCGTACCTCTACACCATCTTGGCTCCTATCTACATGAATATTGAAATCTCTTATTATTATTGTATCAGCATTCAGTAATAAGTCAGACAAACATTCTGAGAATTCAAAAACAGAATAAGGGCCTCGTGGATGACGAATAACATCAAGTAAAAGTGGCTTTTCTGATTTTTGTTTTGTATGATAAAGACTGAGGAACACTGACTCAAAAGAATTCTAATTAACAATTGGTTTAGCATTTATTTGCAATATATTTGTTAAGATAGAAGCCTTTTAAATATTCAACTTACTACTGATTTTTTTTTGTTTTAGTATTTTGAAATAGCAAGTGTTACAATGCCAGCAGCAGCTTGTTACATGTTCTAAGAGGTGCTAAAACATTTTTTTTAATTCAGTCTTTCATTTTATACCAGGAACCCAGCCATCAGCCTCTACACCAAATTCAATGCAGGGACCACCCCATGTCCAACCTAATGTTATGGCTGCTCAAAGTAGCATGGCTGGTCCACCTCCTGGTTCAACAGCTGGACCTAGCATGGGCCAACAGCAGCCTGGCCTCCAGACCCAGAAGATGGGCCTCCAGCATCAGGTCCAGCCTGTGTCCTCCTCCCCCAGCCAGATGGTTCAAGGCCAGGTTGGAGGTCAGACTGTCCTTTCAAGGCCCATTGGTCAAGGGCAGAGAGGAGGGATGACCCCACCTAAGCAAATGATGCCACAGCAAGGCCAGGGGGTGATGCATGGGCAGGGTCAGATGGTTGGAGGCCAAGGGCACCATGCCATGCTTCTGCAGCAGCAACAGCAGCAGCAACAAAACTCGATGATTGAACAAATGGTTGCTAATCAGATGCAAGGAAACAAACAGGCATTTGGAGGCAAGATTCCACCTGGAGTTATGCCTGGCCAGATGATGCGTGGCCCTTCACCAAATGTTGCTGGAAATATGGCTCCGTTTCAGGGACAAGTCCCACAGCAAATGACTCCTCAGCAGCAGCAATTAGTTCAAATTCAGCAGCAGCAATTACAACAACAGCATCAGCTGCAGCAACAGCAATTACAACAGCAACAGCACCAGCAGATGAACCCACAACAGCCTCAACAGGTTCCAATCTCTGGCAATCCTAATCAGAGCATGAGCATGCATGGGCAACAAATGAGACTCCCTGCTGGTCATCATCTCATCCAACAACAACAGTTGCAGCAGCAGCAGCAGTTTCAGCAGCAACAACAGAAACAACAAGCTTTGTTGCAACAGCAGCAACAACAGCAGGCAGCTCAGCAGCACCAACATATCATAGGGGATCCCAATAGTGGGGCAGGAGACATGGGTGTACAGCAAATGGTTCCTGATATGCAGGCGCAGCAGCAGCAAGGCATGATTGGAGGCCCTCAGCACATGCAGATGGGAAATGGACACTTTGCAGGTCACGGCATGAACTTTAACCCACAGTTCCCTGGACAAATGCCAATTGGAGGACCTTGTGGACAGCAAGGTGGCTTTCCAGTTAGTAAAGATGTTACATTGACTAGTCCACTGCTAGTCAATCTCCTGCAGAGTGATATCTCAGCAAGCCAGTTTGGACCAGGAGGAAAACAAGGAGCCGGTGGGGACAATCAGGCCAAACCTAAAAAGAAGAAACCTGTGAGAAAGAAGAAGCCCAAAGATGGTGACGGTCAACAGCAAATTGAGGGACCTGGGTAATAATTCAGATCTATTACGTTTTTATTATCTTGAAAATTCATTCTCAACATTAATGGATAATTCATCTAATAATTAATATTTTTTGGCTCTTAGTGGTCTTGAAGGGGCTGCTGGCATGGAAGATTCTGAAGTGCCAAATCTGGGTGGAGAACAGGGTTTGAACTCAGAAAACCCAGTCCAGAAACTCCCTGATTTTGCCAACAGGCCTGCAGGTAAACTAAATAATTTTAAAATTATAATTAATTTGTTTTAATTTGTAGTCATGTACTCTTTTAAATGATTTTTATTATTGTTAAGGTCAAATTTATTTAAGCACATTTAAACAAAGATGTTGACCAAAGTGCTGTACATATCAGAGAGTCAGAGTTTCTTTGTCATTCGCACCTCATGTGGTACATGTGGTGGAGCGAAATTATGTACACAGGGTCCCAGTTACATCCCACAATAAAATATAAAAGAAAAACAATGACAACATCTAAGATATGAACTAAGAAAAACATCAACTAAATATACTCTAAGCACTCATAAAAACATTATGTCGAACATCAGCACAACCATGAACATGAGTCTGTGTGAGCAGATGTCTGTTAAATACATCTTTACAAAATAAATAAGTAGTGTTATTTAAAAATCATTCCGTATATGCCACCGTAAACATTGCACCGCCCTATAAGTCACATCAGTCCAAATATGTCTGATAAAGTGGAAAAATCCATAAATACGTCGCTTCGCCGTCGTATTAGTTGCATCTATTATGCATCACCGCTGACAACCCAGAAATGTGGGCTGGTGTTGTGCCAAAAATTGATTGGCTGCCAAATGGTGGCAGCGGGAGTGTGCACGGGAGGACTTTTAACAAGATTAACACTTAAAAACAATATTTTGTTTGCTCGAAATTATAGCAAAAGTGTCTCAGTCTAACTTTTCCTTAATAAATGCACTTTGACGGTCAAAATTAGCTGCATTTCGCCGGGGCGGTGCGTCGAAATTAAACTGATTTGACGGTTGCTCCAGGCAGACAACGGTGGCAGTCTATGCCAAGCCGATTGTGTCATTAACAGCCACTATTACCTTTTACATGATACAAAAGCATGCCATACTACTCGACTGCCATCTAACGTCTGCAAATGGTAGTGCTCAATATTTTCAGTCAGAATGAATGAAAACTGTCATATCTCAGCCAAAAATTGGTTTATAAATATGGGAAAAAATCCATAAATACGTCGTTTCGGCGTATAAGTCGCATGAAGGCATGCAAATTTTTGAAAACTCTGCAACTTGTAGGTTGAAAAATACGGAAATAAATATTCCATTAAATAAATAAATAAAGTCTTAAAATAAATAAATAAATTTTGAAATAAAAAATAAATAAATCTTGAAAAAAATGATAACTAAATATTGGGAAAGAAAAACCTAAACATTTCCATTTAAATGTTTTATTTCATGGGAACATTTATTTATTTAATGGAATAATTATTAATAATTTTAAATAACACTATTTATGTATTTATTTTTGAATGAAATGGCTCTCCATAATGAAAGGTCCAGAAATATTTCAAATAAAAAATAATCTTTCAAATAAAAAGAGCCTAGAAATAATTATAATTGTGCCTTGTTTTGCTTTCCACAGGTTTTCCCAGTCAGACAGGGGAGCAAAGAGTACTGCAGCAAGTACCCATGCAGTTTATGCAGCAGCAGCAGCAACAGCAACAACAACAACACCACCAACAACAACAACAACAACAACAACATCAGATGCAGCACATGCAACAACAGCATTTACAGCAACAGCAAATGCAGCATCAGCAGCAGATGCAACAGCAGTTGCAACAGCAACAAATGCAACAGCAACATCAATTACAGCAGCAGCAGCAGCAACAACAGCAGCAGCAGCAGCAGCAACAACAACAACAACAACAACAACAGCAGCAACAGCAGCAACAACAACAGCAACAACAACAACTACAACAACAACAACAAATACAGCAGCAGCAGATGATGCAAGCTCTCCAGAATGCTCAAGGGCAGCAAGGGATGACGGGGTCACAAACATCAGGTCAAGGCCAACAACAAATGCATCCTCATCAGCTGCAGCAGCAATCTCAGCAGACACACCTGCAACAGCAGGTATTATGTGCATACTTGATGGTGTTTGGTGTAAACACAGTAGATTTTTTATCTTTATGTTGCTCTCCATTTTACTTTCTAGCAGCAACAACAGATGATGATGATGATTAAGATGCAACAGGAGCAGGCAAAGAATCGGATGCCCATGCCCCCAGGACAGCTCCCTCCTCGGGGTATGGCTAATCCAACAGAGGCGCAGAGACATCCTGTTTCACAGCAAAGCAACATGCCTGTAATGATTAGCCTTCCAGGACATGGAAGTGTTCCACCATCACCTGACAAAGCCAGGGGCAACCCCTTGATGGTGAACGCACAGGTAGAGGGCCAGTAGTAATGTGCATAATCAATCATCTGATGAGTTGTAAACATGTGAATATGTCACTATTTATTTTTAGAAACGTGTGCACTTATTGAATTTCATTTCACATTTTCCAGCTTGCAGGTGCTGCACGAAGAATGTCCCATCCAGATGTAGGGCAGGGTACCCAGGGCACTGGATCTGATGAGGTCCTTACAGGTGCCCTCTCAAAGCAGGATAGACCTGGTGGCTCAGATATCGGGACACAACCAGGAAATGGGACACAACAGGTTGTGTCTAGCCAGAATTCCAATGCTCATTTGATGAAGCAAGGCTCTGGTCAAACACAAATGCCTCAACATACTGGGGCTAGTCCCCAGCAGCAGTTACCCACTCAGCCTCAACAAGGAGGTCACCTGTCTAGCCTTCATTTTCCTAATGCGCCTACCACTTCACAGAGCTCCAGGCCTAAAACCCCCAACAGAGCCAGTCCAAGACCTTATCATCATCCTCTAACTCCAACTAATCGCCCACCCAGTACTGAGCCCTCAGAAATTAACCTTTCTCCGGAAAGGCTAAATGCTTCAATTGCTGGATTGTTTCCCCCTAAAATTAACATTCCTCTCCCACCAAGACAGCCAAACCTTAACAGAGGATTTGACCAACAGGGTCTGAACCCAACAACTCTAAAAGCAATTGGGCAGGCCCCTCCTAGTTTAAATCTAACAAATAACAATGGCAATGCAGGAGGAAATAATGCTAACAGTCAGATGTCTTCTGGGGCTGGTGTGGGGGGTTTAGGTACTAAACAAGACAAACAACCTGGAGGCCAGAGTAAAAGGGCAAGTCCTAGCAATAGTCGTAGGTCAAGTCCAGCATCTAGCCGCAAGTCAGCCACCCCAAGTCCAGGAAGACAAAAGGGGGCAAAAATTACGATCAACTGCCCTCCACACCACCAGCAGCTAGGAAACCCTCAAGGGCAAACAATGATGCTAAGCCCTTCCTCAGTACCTCAGAGTCCAGTATCTATGCCTTCACAACAGAGTGGAGGCATGGAAGCACAACAGACCCAAAGCCCTATTCATGGGCTTCACAGTAACCCAGCTGATGGTGTCAGGGAAACTCAGGGAATGCTTACAGTTGAGCGACAAACACCTCAACCTCAGTCCCAAACGTTCAGGGATTTATCAACCCCCAGAATAACAAGTCCTCGTTTGCCAGCACCCCAACATTCAAAACCTGATGCGGAAGTGCAGGCAAGCACAGCTGATAGACATTCAGCACACAAAGCATCTATACAGGACCTTGAGGTTTCACCTGCTCTCAGATCAGCTCCGACATCCCTCAACCAGTTATTAGATAACACAAGTGTTTCAAACATGCCACTTAGACCAGCTCAGAGTAATACTGTTGTAATAGGAAAAGACAGCCCTAGGTCTGCTTTGGATCCAGATAGACCAGTTTCCACAAATTCCCAGAGTTTCTCATCTGTTGTTACCACTGTTTCTGAGGTTAAACCTAAACCGACTCCTTGTATTCCTACTAGTAGTCCTGCCATGCAGCTTACCTCAGTCCCCAGCTCACATCTTCCCACTAATGTAAACTTGAGTACCCCTCTTGGCCTTAACCCAAACTCCATCACTAGTCTTGTTAATCCGAATTCAAGCATAAATTCAATGGCCAATCTTTGCAGCTCAGTCAGCACTAACACTAATGCAACCCCATGTCTTAGCACCGGTACAGTTGCTTCTGGTCAGAACAGTTCTACCTCCGCTGTTAGTACCAGCTCTGTTGCAAACCCAGCCAATTCAGTTCTTAAACCAAGTCCTAGTCCTAAACCTATGACAAGTGTTCCCTCAGTCATACAGATCCCTGCATCTTCAACCAACATTTCCCCTAATCAAATCAGAGTGTTGTTTGCACCAAACTCCATTACTTCTGCCCCCACTACACAGGTGTCTGCATCTATGGTATCTACTATGATGGCTGTCCCAAACAAGAACATTAGACCTCAGGACATCAGACAGCAGAGTTCCGGTTCACGACCAGCTCAGTTTATCACAACCACTCCTGTATTTATCAACCCAGTTTTTCAGGTCACTGGTTCTTCTGTGTCTCCCAATACAACAGTGGTATCACAGTCAGTCACCATGGTGGGCTCTATCCAGGTGTCAGCTGCAAACATCCAACTTTCTCCCGCTCCAACGTCCACACAATCATCAGGGGCTACAATGACTAGTACTCAGCTCACAAAAAGTGCTGTTGGACAGGTTCATGTAGCCAGTAACCAGTCCTCTTCAGTCCCAGTTGGTACTCTCGTAGCTCCTCAACAAATTAACCAAGGAAATATCAAAACAGAACATCTGGGGGACACAAGTTCTTCTCAGAAATCTGCTCTCCCTGTGTGCCAGCCACCTGCCCATCAAAGTCAATCAATATCTTCTTTTCAGCCACCTCTGGCTTCTCCTCCTCCCTGTTCTAGTCCTGGAGTTGTTAACACAATCCGAAAGAGCCCTGCTTCTCTATCTCAAGCTTCCCATGTGAAAAGTAAGCTTGTATCAGCACCTTTATCTGTTTCTGGCTCAGTTGACTCTCAGCAAAGCACTGTAGAAAAGCCAATACAAGGGCACCAAGGGACAGTCCCTCCACAAGTTTTTATACCTCCTGCTAGTTCAGCTGTTCAGACTGAAGCACAAGCTCCCCATACTACTGCTGTTGGATCAAACAGTACCTTGCCTGCAGTTTCTTCTCAAGTCTCTAGCCAAGTTACTGTTCGTACTCAAATTGCTGGCCAGGCTCCTGTACTCTCATCAGCTTCAGTCTCAAGCCAATCACAGGCAGTAAATTCTCAAACACCCATTGTGACTGCCATTGGTGCATCTACTGGGGTCTCTTCTGGTGCATTGCTTACTACAGTCACTCCTGTACAAACTCCTGTACCGTCTGTTGTTCCAATTGTTGCTGCACCAGGACCTACTGAGGCACCCCACATCCCATCCACTTCTACCATTGTCCCCAGTGTAGGTTCATCAAGCCAACCTGACCCTCCATCTGCAGAGCCTTCCATGCCACCATCTGCAGCATCTGCTGAATCCACTCAAACCACTTTAGGTACATGCACTGTTCTTATCAGGTCAACAGATCATATTCTTAGCATGATATTTAAGGCTAGGCTTATTGCACATCCATCATTACACCAAATGACACCGGTTATCAGGTTATATTCGGTAAATCTACATTTTACCCAGGAAAGAGAAATAAATACTTATGAAAATGTTTTGTGACTTTATTGGAGCAGGAACAGGTAGGCGTGGCCTTTTTTAAACACCACTCATTCATGTGGTTTTTTTTTTTTTCTTTGTCCATTTCCAGCACCTCTTCAACGAGAAGCTTCACAGGAGTCTGGCACCGCTGAGAAGACGAGTAACCATTTTTATTTTAAATTCCATGTGAACTTGAGAAACATTCAGCACTAGATGGTAGATAATTCTGTTTGTGTGTGTGTTTCAGGTGAAGAATTCTCAACCGGTTCAGAGCAAGGGTGAGATTATTTTTATCATGGTTGTTTTTGTTGTTGCCGTTTGGTTTAATTTGGATGTAAAGGATTTTTAGGATGTCTTTAAGTAGAGATTTTTGAAAACATGCCCTGATAGGTAAAAAAGAGATGCACAGACATTTCTAGCTTCATTGAACCACAGGGAATTTGATGGGCCTCAGGGGGAAAATGGTTAATAATAAAAATAAAAACCTCAGCCCTTGGTATAACTAGCATGTAATTATTTAAATATATGATAATACAATTTATCTCTCCAGTGATGTTTATGGCCATATCTCTTCGTAGGGATTGCCATATTTTGGTGGTAGTAAGAGTATATTTGTCCAGCTCACTTGATAGTTTACTGCTGTTTTTCCACTTCTATCACAGATGGGCAAAGAAAAGAACGACGCCCATCACCTTAGTCCCAAGGTATGTATAATAACATAAATGTGCAGCAAAGTCATAAGCAATGATCACATCAACATGGATGCTAGCAGGATGAAGATTGGCAGTATCTGTGGTAGATGAGGAAAAACAGCAGTGTCCTGATTGATATGTCTTTTGAGTAGAGCATAGTTGCATCTCCACTTTGTTTCTTCAGTAACACAAATATGTCTTCATGCTTTTTTGTTGTTTATCTGTCTGGTTCTCCCAGAGCTGCTGTGGAGAAGCCCAAGGGGCCAAGCAGGCGCAGCTCTCGAGCAGAGAAAGACGTCGAGGAGGAGCCAGTAACAGATAGTGGCATTAGGAAGAGACCAGCTAGGCCTGGAACAAGTGCTGCAGTAAAAGGTAATATATTCACTCATATGAGACGTCTTATCACTACACACATGCCACACAATCACTACACATATGCCACACAAAAAATGCACCATAATCTTTTTTTCACTAATAAATACACTTTTCACCAATACTCTTTCAGAAACTGCAGCGAGTCCCACCCAAGCCAAACGAAGGAAATCTAAATAGGCACAGCAACAGTTTACCTGTGAATTGTACTGTAAATGTTTGTGTTTGGTAGTTTGTCTCCCAATGTGAATCAGTTGATATTAGCTTCTCTGGTCTGGATTATAAATTTTCACTGGAGGAAGAAACCATGTACAGATTGTTTTAAACAAAATATGAAGCTATTGTTTTGTCCATACGTGTGCTTACAGTTTGTGTGAATGTGCTTTTTATATTAAATGCTGGATTAATCATGTGAAGAATGATATTGAAACTCACCATTACTGTATAATTATGCTGTAAAATCAAATAAATTTTTTACTGCTTTTGTTCTGTGAAAATATTTGTGTGCGTTTGTTATTTTAAAGTTGATCTGTTGAATTCAGTCTGTGCTTGAGATCCACAGATGAGTAGTATTAGCAGGAGTTTTATGTGTTTAGGTCAAGTAAATGTTGGGCCCTTGTAACTTTTTTTTATTTCTAGCATTGACATATATATTTGTGTGAATGCACTATTGTGATCCATTTTTCTTCCGCACGTTTTTCGGCATCTTTCTCATTTCACAGTTTTGTGCTATTACATCAAAACGTTCAGCTCTTTCAGGACCATCCTCCTGATATGACTTGGTATTGGTGCAACTTTAGTTTTTTTTTAAATATTGAGCCTTTTCTGCCATATTTTTTCCTCAGAGAAAATGAATTGAGCTCATTTTACATCCTTCAAATCTTTAGATCTGTTTACAACCTTTTACTGCTCCTTTCACATTTTGTTCTTGTTCAGCGTCTTTCAGCTTCCTTGGGCTAATTTAAACTTTTTCAGATAATTTCAGCTCAGTTTTGTGCTCCTTTCAGGATCTTTATGCTAACTACAACAATTTTGTGTTTCTTCTAACTTCTTTCTGCTCCTTTCAGCTTATTTCTGCAAGTTTCAGCCTTTTCTGCTATTTCAGCCATAGCTGTTTTTATGCATTTTTTTTTATTTTTTTTTAGCTTTTTCAGGTAATTACACTTTTGTTGGACTCATTTAAACTTTTTCAGGCTAATTCATCAAAAATGCTCTCTCCACTTTCTTCTGGTAATTTAGGCTTCTTTCTGCTTTTTCAGCTACTTTTCAGCTGTTTTGTGTGTGTTTCAGCTTTTTCAGGCAATTTCTGGCTCATTTCAGCCTTCAGGGCAAAGGTGTTCTTTCTGCTTTCTTATGCTAATTTAAGCAAGTTCTACATTTTCAGCTAGCTTTTTAACACATTTAAGCTATTTTCAGATAAAAGTTTTTTTTTGTGGTAATTTCTTCTTTCAGCCCAATGAACTTCTCTGATATTGTTTTGCTCTTTTCAGCCTATTTCTGCAAGTTTCTGTTTTTTTTTCAGCAACTGTTTAGCTGTTTTATGCTAATACTAGCTTTTTCAGCAAATTCCACATTTTTACACTCATTTCTACTTATTTTACCCCCTCCTGCTTATTTACTCTACATTTTCAGCTATGTTTCAGCAAGTTTTTTTTTTTAGTTAATTTCAGCTGTTTTTCAGCAAGTTCTTCTGTAGTAAACACTCACACTGCATTTTGGCAGGGAATGCAATTTCTCTAGTTTCCATTAAAATGGTGTCTATAACCATAGATCTGTATGTCTATAACAACACAACGATTTTGGCTCACGGGACCGTGCAGAGCCGGTTGGACTGCGCATGCGCAGTTGATAAACGTTGGGACTCCATTCCAGGCTGTCAGAGAGGGTTCCCTGAACCTCGCATCCTGATCAGTCGTCTACTGTGACAACTACCTGCTGTGAAATAACAATAATAAGCAAACTATGAGTGGAGATAATGGACGCGGAGACTCCCAGGTATTTGTTGGTTGTCATTATTTTTATTTTATAGTTTATGAATTCTTCATCTGAAATTACGCTCGAATTTTATTTAGCCAACAATGGCACATACTATACTTGCAAAAATAATGCTACTTTGGAAACTAGTATTTTATCGTGTTATAGGCAACTGTATAGTTACGTAGGGTGTTTTCTATTGTACTAAAATGATGCATTTCTAAGATGCAATCGAAACTTAACCGAAGCTACCGGCGTTTTTAAAATGTAATAATTAAATCCATTTTTCTCGCAATTTTCAGGTCAGCTGTGGCACTAAAGGAAGCGGTAGGTCGTCAGAAGGTGATTTTTATTGACGCTGACAGATGTAGCCGTCACTGCTTGTACCTGTCTACTGTTAGTTTTTAAGGGCAGAAATGGCGTCCCAGAGACTAAGTCCCGTCTCCTCCACTCTCTTGCGGCTATTGTTCAAAAAGAGGGGCTCAAATGGACATTTGCCAGCCTCGGTGTGTTCAGCGGATGGGCTCTTCTGAAAGAGCCTGACGTCGAGTTCATTGTGCATGCCTTTGTGTGCTCATATGTTTGCGCTTATGCAAAAAATAATGGAGCCGAAAGTGGTGGAATTGGGGCTGAGGACTTAGTCTCTGCGCCATTTTCTTTTTCTGTGTAGCATCCAGGGCTGCGCGTGAGAGCAGCTGTCCGCCGTGATGGAGGCAGAGCCGGGGCTGGTGGCACCTCCCTGCCTCCATCTCTGTTTAGGACACCTTTATCTGCATGTGGCTTTTAAGCACGCACGCACAAAGTTACACCTCATTGCTGGGAGCTTTTGTGTCTTCTGTCATTTTCTTTCTTTCTGGTTTTAATTAATTTATGAGCTCCACAAGAGCATCCCTTTTAGGAAAGTTGAGAACACATTTTTCCTCCAGATGTTCTACATTGTTGCCTAATTCCTGGGAAAATAGAAGGAAGTGGGAGTTGTCTCTTGACTGGAATGTTTAATATAAGTCCATCCATCCATTATCAATCAACCTTTCAATGTTAATTTCAATTATCTTTACCCACTTCTCCCTTTTCGGATCGTGGGGGTCACTGGTGCCCATATCCAGCAGTCAGTGTGCGAGAGAAGCGGGGGACACCCTGGACATGTCTCCAGTCCATCACAGGGACACCCTGGACATGTCTCCAGTCCATCACAGGGACACATAGAGACAAACGAGACAAACAACCATTCACTCTCTCGCTCACACCTAGAGACAATTTAGAGCATACATGTCAAACTCAAGGCCCGGGGGCCAAATGTGGCCCTCGCTGACATCTTATCTGGCTCCCAAGATAATATGTGAAACGTAAAATACTTCTGTCTCTTGACATTTTTTCAGTAATCTTTGATTATGATGTAGAAAGTGCAACAGAGAACATCAAATGAGACCAATCAAATTCTTGTTGAGGAACCTGTGACCAAGGAAAGATGTCGGGTATCTGATTTGAGTTAATGTAGTTTTTGAAATTGGCCCCCTTTTGTAAGTGGGTTTGACACCCCTGATTTAGAGTCACCGATCAGCCTAACATGCATGTTTTTGGTCTGTGGGAAGAACCAGAGTACCCGGAAAAAACCCACGCATGCACAAAGATAATAATAATAATAGATTCTATTTGTATAGCACTTTTCTCAATACTCAGACGCTTTACAGGAGTTCAAAAATATAAAATCAACACTGCATCACAACACACAAAAACACAATAAAAGGGGGCTAATTTAAACATTAAAAGCAATTTTAAACAGGTGGGTTTTGAGTTATTTTCTTAAAAGTGGGGAAATCGGAGCAGGTACGAAGCTTTTGGGGCAGTGGGTTCCAGAGCAGGTTACCCTGGTTCAAATCCCAGTTCAGAGACCATTCTGGGCGGAGTTTGCATGTTCTCTCCGTGTATGTGTGGGTTTTCTCCAGGTACTCTGGTTTCCTCCCACAGACCAAAAACATGCATGTTAGGCTGATTGGTAACTCTAAATTGTCCCTAGGTGTGAGTGAGAGAGTGAATGATTGTTTGTCTCTATGTGTCTCTGTGATGGGCTGGAGACATGTCCAGGGTGTCCCTGTGATGGACTGGAGACCTGTCCAGGGTGTCCCCTGCCTCTCGCACAGTGATTGCTGGACATGGGCACCAGCGACCCCCGCGACCCAAATGGGAAGAAGTAGGTAAAGATGATGGATGGATGGGTTCTAGAGGGTGGGGGCGGTGATGGAGAAGAATATGCAAACTCCAGCCAGAAGGGTCCCGGGTTGGGATTTGAGTCGGCAACCTTCTTGCTGAGAGGCAACAGCTCTACCAACTGAGCCATTGTGGCACTCGTTTATATATATATATATATATAAGATCATAATTATTAAAATTGCCATGATAACAAGGTCCCATAAAGTAATGTTCAGGTGAGCCCAACCTTTACAAACAAAAGAGCCATTCCTGCTCTTGACTTAGTCACACACAAACCTGAAGTTTAAAAGTCATGGCTCATTAGGTCAAAGTTCATGCTCAGTAATCCAGGTTTTAAAAAAAAAATCCAACAAAGTTAAACTTTAATTAAACGTTTCAACACAAAGAAACCACCCAGAGGACCTGACTTAACTTTGTTGGATGACTCGGGTGTTTTAATATTTATACTTATAAAAACTATTGCTTATAAAATTATAGCTGTGTAAATTATTAATGACATTTATTTAGTAGCTTTACATGCTGCCAAATACACACTGAACTTGGCAAACTTGTAATTTATTGTGTGTATAATAAGTTATATTGTCAGTATCCCCCTTAAACCTGACCACAACCCGGTGCTGGACTGAGCCAACCCTGGGTAGTTCTAACTCCTCAGCTGGGTTGGGTTTTATACAGTTACGTTTTCTACCCAAACCCAACAATGTTCAGTCAGGTCATCTGGACGGTTTCTTTTTTGTGCTCAGACGTTTCGCCTTCCATCCGAAGGGCTTCATCAGTCTGAAACCATCCAGATGACCTGACTGAACATTATTGGATTTTATAACTGGATTATTGAACATGAACTTTGGTGTTTCTACCCAAACGTTTGTCTAAAATGAATACCATGATTTGTTCAACATAAGCTACAAAAAACGTTTGTTAATAACTCAAAATCTGGGTATTTAGATGATTATAGTTTGTTGATATTAGCTAGTTGAAGCTCACTGCTAATAGCATCAGATAGAACCAACTCAAGTTATTTTAGAAGCCCAAACTCTCTGTCTGATGTAAAGTAAAGTTATTACTAAGTCAACCACGTTACCCATATTCTTATAAGTTGTTTTTACCAACTTATCCTTACATATTACTCCCTAAGACATTCAGGTTTGATTTGGTCAACTTCTGGCCTAAAACGGCAGAGTGTGGAGAATGATACGACTCAACCACTGGATCAGAGAAGATTTGGACAAACCTCTTTAATCCAGCAGTTTTTAGTGTGTACTTACATTCTGATAAACTGGTAATTACCTTTTTTTAGCAACTACTTTCACCCATTGAAACAAATATTTGAAAGAGATAAGTAGGCAGCTTTTAAGCCTGTATTGCTGTCAGGTGTAGCTGTGGAACGTGATGTGCATCTTGTCACTCTGCCGTTATGTAAACCTGAACACCTTTCAGTTTATCTGGGACATTGTCCACGAAACTGGGGAGTGTGGTAAAGAGGTGAAAAAGAGAACTCAGGCAGGATGGAGTGGAGAAAAGTTTCAGGAGTGATTTGTGACAAAAGGGTGTCAGCAAAGGTCAAAGGAAAAGTTTACGAGACAGTTTTGAGACCAGCTATGTTGTATGGTCTGGAGACAGAGACATGGACAAAAAGACAGCAGAAAGAACTGGAAGTGGCGGAAATTAAGAAGTTGAGGTTCTCCTTAGGAGTGACAAGGATGGATAAGATTAGGAGTAAGATCATCAGAGGTACAGAACAGGTTGAATAACTGGGAGATAAAGTTAGAGAGACCAGACTGAGATGGTTTGGACATGTCCAGAGGAGGGACAGTTACATTGAGTCTCCAAGACTCATTTACAAGTGTGACCTGTTTGGACCAACAATAAAAAGGGGTGAAAATGACACATACGGTTTGGAGACCAAAAATATTCCTAACATGCTCTTAATCTTTGGCTGAAGGTTAACAGCATGATAATGAAAAAAAAAAACTTGCACACGAGCACATAATGACGCCAACATTCCATGGGGGGGAAGTCCAAAGATGAGATATATGGATGAAGTTAGAGAGGACATGGAGGTAGTTGGAGTGAGGACAGAGGATGCAGAGGACAGAGTGAGATGGAGGAGGATGACTCGCTGTGGTGACCCATGAAGAGGGAAAAGCTGGAAGAAGAAGAAGAAGAAGCTTCAAAATATGTTAAAATGTTTAAACTTTTAGAAAAAAATCACACTGTGTCTGGAGGTTTGAATTAAATTGTGGCTAACAGGCTAACTTAAACTATTAGCACAAACAAATAGACGCATTTTTTTTTTTTGTATTAGTACCATTTTGCCACAAATAATTTTTTCATATACTTTCATAAAATTTGCACAGAAAAACTGCTAAAACTAGTATGTTGTAAGTATTTATGAACGTCAGTAATGCTAACCTCCATGTTAGTTTTGGTCAAAGCTACAAAGAGCCACTGGAGGGAGACTAAAAACACCACATGTGGTCCCAGAGCCACAGACTGCAGAGCCCGGATCAAGTCAACCTTGGGAGAGAGTTCTGTCCACACAGAACATTTAAGAAACACTATGACACCTCAAGTAAAACCCCATTAAACTTACGCAAAGCTGCTTTGTGTTAAAGTATTTTAAAGAACAATCTTGAAGTCATTTTAATAAACTTGAGGCAAACATCAGATCTTCTTTAGTGGTTGTATAATAAAGTGAAACCTTTCAGAAACACTCCTCTGGCTACAATTACTCAAGCTACAAGATAAGCTATGACTTCAACATGAAAGTGATATAAGTAAATTAAATACAGAACCATTATTTAACTTAATGTAATGGATCTAAAAAAGTTAAATCTGGTCCTCTGGACATTCAAAAAAACTATTAACGGAGTGATTGATGGATATTAATGTAATGGAGTTCTTACATTTTGCTTTAGAATTGCCACCTTGGATGACATTACATTCCATTTAGGCTTTGCAGCGATGAAGAAAATAATTTAATTTATTATTTAGATGATTTTAGTAATTTTTTTTTCTAACAGAGCAATATTTTCTTCAGAAAAGTTGGGTTTTATAAATACTATTTTCTGTTGTAGACTGAGTTTCACAAAAGTACAACTATATTCATTTCCACTAACTACCAGATTAAAGTGTCTCTAAATGTAGTCATCAGTTGTGAAAACCCAGACCCAGTAATAAAGCTTCATTTAAAGGTGAAATTCAAGATATTTGTTACATTTTGTTGACACAGAATAACTTTTAATTATTTTTAGTTTTAGGGCTTTTCCTTTTTTTTTGCTGCATTTTATAGGAAAAATAAATTCTCCGTGTTTTTGTGTTTGCTTGTGTTTTGTTGCATGTTTAAGTTCTTTGCATTGTGATTTTCTGAAAATGTGTCTGTATGTACCCTTTTTGCAAATGCTGACAATTTTGGATTTTGCACGCTGAACCTTTTCATACTGTATAAAAATGAATGTGTGGACTAACATTGTTAGATGAGCGGCATGCTTTATATTGTGGTATTTTTAATGCTCTTGTGCAGATTAACCTTTGTGTTATGTTGCAGACTCTTACAAGCATAAAGACAAGCACAAAGACAAAGAACACAGACACAAAGATCACAAGAAAGACAAGGAAAGAGATAAAATCAAGTACAGCAACAGGTAAAATATGTGTTTCTCTTCCTATTTTTGGTTATTAATAATACAGCATTTGAATTTACAGTATATTTATTCTTGACTTGTTTTCTTTTCACTAGCCTCGTGCTAACATGGGGGAAATGAAAACATAGTTTACTCACTGATGCAGTGTCCTTCAGCACATCCTTCATATGTAGAAGAAGCAGTGTTGTCAACAAACATGACACAGTCACAAAGATTCCTGCTTTTTCTAAAAGCTAACTAAACTCATTAAACTAGAGAAACTTAATTTCCTGCAAAAATGCAATGTGAATGCTTATTGCTGAAGAACTTGCTGAAATTAGCTAAAATACATTCTGAAATGTAGATGAAATGGAAGAAAAATATTAATTTAGCAGAAGAAAGCAGAAATTGCATATTTGCTGAATGAGGTTTTAATGAGGAGAAATGAGAACAAAAATGAGGAAATTAGCTACAAAAAGCTAAAGTTAGCAAGAAAATAGCTGAAAAGTAGCTGAAAAGGCAGAAAGATGCTTTAACTACCAGAAGGAACTGGAAAGAGCTGAAATGAGCTAAAATGTGGAATTTGCTGAAAAAGCTAAAAACAGCATCAAAACAGCTAAATAGTAGCTGAAAGAGCAGAAAAATCTGAAAGTAGCAGAAAAAAAGCTGAAAGAAGCAGAACAAGCTGAATTTAGCAGAAAGAAGTTAATTAGGCCGAAAGTAGCAGAAATTGCCAAGAAAAACTTGAATTTATCAGAAAACAGCTGAAATTAGCTAAAAAGGCTAAAAAAGTAGCTGAAAATGTAGAACAAGCTTAAATTATCAGAAGAAAGCAGAAAGAACATGTTTGCCCATTTAGGCTGAAAGAAGCAGAAATTAGCACAAAGTAGTGGAAATTATCTAAAAAAACCCCACTAAAATAAGGAAAAACAACTGAAAAGTAGCTAAAAAAATCAGAAAGAAGCTTAAATTTTCAGAAGGAAATGGGGAGAACACTGAATTTGCTAAATTTGGCTGAAAAAAGTTTAAACGAGTGCAAAAAATGTGGAATTAGCTGAAAAAACTAAAATTAGCATAAAAAACAGCTAAATTGTAGACAAAGCTGAAACTTGCATAAATAAGCTGAAAGGAGCATAACAAGCTGAAGTTAGCAGAAAGAAGTTAGAAGAAGCACAAAAATGTTGTAGTTAGCAGAAATAATCTGAAGGGAACACAAAACAGTTGAAATGAGCTGAAAGTAACAAGTAAAAAGTTACAATTTTCACAAGGAAGCTGAAAGAAGCTGAACCAGAACAAAACGTGAAAGGAGCAGTCAAAGGTTGTAAACACATCTAAAGAGTTGAAGGACGTAAAATGAGCTCAATTCATTTTCTATGAGAAAATAAAAGTGGCAGAAAAGGCTAAATATTTCAAAAAGCTAAAGTTGCACCAATACCAAAAGTCATATCAGTACTGTCCCAAAAGAGCTGAACATTTTGATAAATGATTTGTTGAAATAGCTTGAAAATTGTGGAATGAGAAAGATGCCGAAAAACGTACAGAAGAAAAATGGATCACAACAGAGTGAATGCTTCATAAACATTATCACAAAAGGCAAACATGCACTGCAAGGCTATGTTTAAACCCACTTGCATGCATGACATCTGCTGGGCTCTTTTCTGTTCAGTGCCCTGAGATGACTTGTGTCGTGACTTGGCACTATATAACTGAACTGAACTGAACTGAATAGAATTTTTTAAACCTTTTTAAAACCTTTGTGGTGTTAAAACTCCTGGCAGAAACAGTGGTAGACCTCAGTATAAAATCAGATTACTGTAGGCAGTGTTTCTGGCTGTGGTCCATGATGCTGCCATTAGATGTTAAAAACGATACAGTGTATGTCATCTGTGGTTGGTTGTGTGTCAGTGACCTCCTCAGTGTCTGTGCACTACCTTTGACCTCTTGCACTTGACCTCTGTGGCTTTTGTGCCTCAGCGAACAGAAGGAGCACTCTGAGAAGAAACACAGAGACAAAGAGAAGCTGAAGCACACCGATGGCAACTCTGACAAGCACCGAGAGAAACACAAAGAGAAGAGGAGAGAGGACAAGGTTCGTTTACCGCCTCCTGGTGCCCCTTTACTGCACACTTAACCTATTAGAAATATTTTTACAGAAGATGTATTTTGCAACATCAATATAAATATGTTTTTCTTTTGGTATTGCTTTTGAGTTGTCAGCATCACTCTTCCTATCTTCCAATAGCTTTAGGAGATTTTCCTCATTAGAACACAAACTGTATCACTGCCTAACGAGACAGATGGCCGGTTTGTTTTATATCAACTCTAAAGAATGTTGATATGCATTTTAATGATCCGTTGTGATTTTTTTTAAACAGGTTCAATCGTCCCATTCAGAGAAGCCTAAAAGGGAGAAGGAAAATGGATATGTGAGGTACACAGCATCACTTTGATGTGACATAAAGTGATTATACACGTAAAGCAGCATAACTCAGTCACATGAGGCTTACTGCGAATGGAGCTGTTTCTCCGTTAATAATGAAGGGCTTTATTGCTTTTTAAATAATTCAACGTCCTATATGCGTGACTCAGGGAGAAGAGTCCTGCTGCCATTAAGAGCGAACCTGAAGATGACGACAGCTTCTATCCATCTCCAAAACACAAGAACTCCAGACGAGAGTGTGACGATGAAGAGTAGGTGTTGGTCAAATCTAATATCAGCTGATAGTTTGGTTGCAATTTTATGACCAGGGCTCAAAAACTCAGCATTTCACCTGTTTACAGATTTGAATATAAGCCCAAAAAAGTCAAAGTGGAACATGATAAGAAGGCCAAGAAGAGGAAACATGAGTACAAAGACGATGAGGAGGATGAGGTACATCAAGTTTTTTTGCTTATTGTTGTCTTCTCAAATCTTCATGTGACTTTGGATTTCAGTATATAAATTGTTTTTTGTGTGTTTTAAGGACATTAAACACAAAAAGAAGACAAAAGACAAAAAATCATCAGAGGGAAAGAAGGCTAAAAAAGAGGAAGAGGATAAATGGAAATGGTAACATAATTTTGTGGTTAAATAGTTTTTCCTCATGAAATTACACTCCAAGGACACTTAGCTAATACCTTACATTATTTGATGTAATGGGTTGTGTTTGTGGTTACTAGGTGGGAGGAGGAACGATACACAGATGGCTCTAAATGGCGTTTTCTTGAACATAAGGGTCCAGTGTTTGCTCCTTCATACGAACCTATGCCCGGCAAAGTAAAGTTTTACTACGACGGTAAGCTTATCTCCATGAAAGTGATGATTTTTTATTAGACCAAGACTCCCATGTAATTTCCTGTACTTGTAGGTAAGCCTTTAAAACTCAGTGCTCCTGCTGAGGAAGTAGCCACGTTTTTTGCCAAGATGTTGGATCACGAATACACAACGAAGGACATCTTTAGAAAGAATTTCTTTAAGGACTGGAGGAAGGTGAGCAAAATAAACATGCAAAGAGTGGATGTTTCTAGACTTTAAACTGAAGTGTTGTATGAATCTCTTGTATCTTAGGAAATGACGTCAGAGGAGAAGTCAAAAATCACAGACCTGAATAAGTGCGACTTCGGGGAAATGAATGAGTACTTCAAGGCCCAATCAGAGGCTCGCAAACAGATGTCAAAGGAGGAGAAGCAAGTAGGTTTTCATTCATCATCGGTCTTTTAAACATTTTAGAATCAGGCACTCAATGTCTCGTCACACTGCAGAAAATCAAAGAGGAAAACGAGCGGCTCCTGCAGGAGTACGGCTTCTGCATCATGGACAACCACAAAGAGAGGATCGGAAACTTCCGCATCGAGCCGCCGGGACTCTTTCGAGGACGAGGCGACCATCCAAAGATGGGAATGCTGAAAAGGCGCATCAGACCTGAAGATATCATTATTAACTGTAGCAAGTGCGTTATCTCACTCTCAAAGTTATCCCATGTTTACTTGTTGCCATTTTACTGGACGACAGTAATAAGCAGTCATTATAGTGTGCAGTTCTGATTTGTACCACGAGGTGGCGGTGTTAAACCATTGAAGTGCTGGTAGAATCACAGCCATGATTATCTGAATTATCAGATAGTGAGTCTATGTGGAAACTTTGTTTTTCAAGGGTTCACCTTTAGGAATATACATTTATTCAGTTGTTTTCCATTCATTTTTCTGTGTTCAACGTCTTTTTTGTTATCTGCTCCTTTTATCTTCTGGATATCCGGTTGTGATCGCTGGAGTTATTTATACACTGGTGTTTGTTTTATCTGTGCCTTCCCATGCCTGAGGGGTACCTGTTAGATAGTTTACTTACTAGAAAGCTAATTTGCTGCATTTGGCTGCCATGCAGAGACAGCGTAAAGAATGTCTGGGACATGTAAAGCACTTACAAACACAAAATGCTGGCATCGTGTCAAAGGTAGTCTTCCTGTCAGAGTACTCTGCATCTGCACAAACAATTACACAGCCCAGGGAGGACGTGTTCATCTCCACATCGTAGCTGCAACATTCTCTCACAGCTGCAGTGTTCACGATATAAAGTTAATCCTGAACTGGTCTTTTAGGGGTAAAATTGTCATTTCTCTGCAATAGATGATTTTTGTACCTGTATGTACAACGGTATAAAAAAAGCAATTAATGCAGAGTCGAACAATTATACAGTACATCCAGCTAAAGTTCCTCTGTTTTTAATGCACAAGGCAAAGTAAATAGTAATGTAGCTTATTTTCACTTAGGGACTCCAAGCACCCTAAACCTCCCCCAGGTACAAAATGGAAGGAGATTCGCCATGACAACAAGGTGACCTGGTTAGCATCATGGACAGAGAACATCCAGGGCTCCATCAAGTACATCATGTTGAACCCCAGCTCCAGAATCAAGGTACCCCTCTTACCGTCAGCCCCCAGTGGCTTTCTGTCATCTCGTACGTGAGTTGTTCTTTTACTGAAGGTATTTTTGTGTATGTGCAGGGGGAGAAGGACTGGCAGAAATATGAGACCGCTCGGCGTTTAAAGAAGTGCGTGGATCGCATTCGTGCTCAGTACAGGGAGGACTGGAAGTCAAAGGAGATGAGGATCAGACAGAGAGCTGTGGCGCTCTATTTTATTGACAAGGTGAAAACAACTTGTTTTAAATGTCCCACTTTAAGTCATTTGATTTTAAAAAGTGGTTATTGAAGTCATTGGAATGATGTAAGTACCTTACAATAAGTATTTATTTTATTAAGTAGTTAGAGCCTCTGTCATTTCAGTGGTAGAACCTCCTCTGAAGATTTCTTTGAATTTTTGGTGTTTTTCTTGCAGCTTGCTCTGAGGGCAGGTAACGAAAAGGAGGAAGGTGAGACAGCGGATACTGTCGGCTGCTGCTCGCTGCGGGTGGAGCACATCAAACTGTACCCCAAGCTGGAAGACCAGGAGTTTGTGGTGGAGTTCGATTTCTTGGGAAAAGACTCCATCCGCTACTACAACAAGATCCCAGTGGAGAAACGGGTGAGAAAGTGTAAGAAAAAAGGGAGGAGGGTTATCACCTTCTGGGTGTGGAACCCACAAGCAGACAAACACAGGGAGCTCAGAGATAAAAATAAAGAAATTAATTTATTAAACAAAAGAATAAATAAATACCAGCTGACATGGCAGCAGAACTTACATAGAAAAGTGAGAACATGGAGACATGGAGGAAACAGGACATGAACGGCTGGGGAAAGCACAATCCACAGACAACTGGGGGACACAAAGACGCTGAACTTAAAGGGACATTAATGAGACATAATGAAGAACACCTGGGGTGACTGAGGTTGGGAGCAGGTGAAGCAGGAGCTGACAACATGAAGGAAGAAACACGGGAAGGCAGGAAACACAAGAATCTAAAGAAATAACACAAAACAACACAGATTCTCACAAGGGTAAAATATGTGGCAAATGTATAACAGGAACAACTGAATTGTTTTTTTATGGGGGTGGGGGGTGCTGGGTGATTAGTGCATATTAGACAGTTTTGGAATTTAGTTTTAATCAGATAAGATGTTTTTTTGTTCACTCTGGAGGATGTTTGCACAGGCAGGTGATTGAATCCAGATTTCTGTCAGCTCTGCTTCAGTTTCCTGCAATTACTGAAGTGTACTCAACAACACACACACTTAATGTGTAGGTTTATAATACAGATCCTCAACTATACTGTACGTACCTCCGCTCTGTCTACTTGACTAAATACACCCCCTGCTTTGCCAAAAAGATGTGGATCCACTGAAAAGAATACACCAACCTACAGTCAATAATTCACTTGTTCTTACTGTTAACTCACAACATGTACAGTAAAACCTTTGTCTTCTGGCGGAAATATTATGATCCATTTATAAACTCAGAAGCCTGAATCTAAGTTTTTGTGTGTTTCTCACTAGGTCTTCAAAAACCTTCAGTTGTTTTTGGAGAACAAACAGCCTGAAGATGACCTCTTCGACCGACTGAACGTGAGAAACACACCGAATATGTTTTGTTGGTTTTATTCTTTATGGAGAAAATGCAAACCTTTGTGATGACAGCTTTTTGTATAACCCTGTCTTTGCTTCTTTTAGACTTCGATTCTGAATAAGCACTTACAGGAGTTGATGGATGGACTAACAGCCAAAGTTTTTCGCACCTACAATGCCTCGATCACCCTCCAGCAGCAGCTCAAGGAACTTTCCTGCTGTGAGCCACGACACTTTCGTTCAGTCACATGGAGGATCTTAAAACAACTACTCTAGCAAGATGATAAAGGACAAACAATAGCACTTGGAATTGGGATTAATTTTTTAGCACTCTATTCTAGCAAATTGTGTTTTTAAGTACTTCTAATTTAACACCAAAATAGCAGATTTTAAATTGTAGTCATTTAAAACTGCCTCTCTTGTGTTGTTTTTGTGTTTCCAGCTGATGACAATATCCCAGCTAAGATCTTATCGTACAACCGAGCCAACCGAGCCGTGGCCATCCTGTGTAACCACCAGAGAGCTCCACCCAAAACGTTTGAAAAGTCCATGCAGAATCTTCAGACCAAGGTAAATCACTACTATTTTTGGTTTTGTTGCTCCCTACAAACTGTGTTTTTGTAATTACTTATTTAGATGTTTTGCTTTTGTCTACGTTAAAGCCAAATATATTCCACAGAAGGATTATTTTGCTCATTCAGCAACTGGTGTTTGTGATGTTTGTTACTGCAGATAGATGAGAAACAAAACCAACTATCTGCAGCCAGGAAGCAGCTGAAGGCAGCCAAAGCTGATCACAAGGCTTCACATGATGAAAAGAGCAAAAAGTAAGAATGCCTAAATGACCCTAATACTTTTAATTTTACCATCTCTATCCTTGTAAAAGCCAAACCAGTTTGGATCTATACCACTTGTCGAGAACAAATAAAATGTTTTTCTTGGTATAATGTTTTATCCATTAGTGTAATTTTTTTTTGTTTTGGTGTGTCTCTGCATCACAGCTTTTATGCCAATTAGATGTTCACATTTAGTCTTTTTTTCAGTCTTGTCTGTATCTTTATTCATTTCCATCTCTGGTATTTGTCCGTTTCTCGCTCTCAGGGCTGTTGAGGTGAAGCGTAAAGCCGTACAGAGGATAGAAGAGCAGCTGATGAAGCTCCAGGTTCAGGCCACAGACAGAGAGGAGAACAAGCAGATTGCTTTGGGCACCTCCAAGCTCAACTACCTGGATCCACGCATCTCTGTCGCCTGGTATTCATGTTGCACAGCCAATATTTGTTCTTTGAGTTGTTCATGCTTATTATCTTAATGCTAGTTGTTACTATGGGGTAAAGAGGCTTTAACATTAAAAGCAGCTGTTGCGTTGGGTAGCTGTCTGAGCGTGGCAGGGCGTGCGGGGACAACTGTGGTGAAAAAAGGCAGGAAATGACCTTGCATTGTAGGAAAAGGAGCAGCAGGAGCAAAAAAGCTAACGGCTGCAGAAGGAGAATAGAGGAAGAAAAGCGTGTGAGAGCGAGGAACAATGGGGTTTGTTTCTGTAAGCAAGGGAGCGTCCCCTAACATCATGCCTTACACCATGTGGGTACAAGAGAGGAGGTGTCTGTGGCTGAACACATAGCCAGGCCACAGAGGAGGGGAGCAGCGGCCCGCCCTCCCTAACCGATGCCCCACAGCTATTTCTGGAGAACCTCGAGCACAGTGAATGCTGGAACTCTTTGTGCTTCGCCTGGTTGATGGGGTTCCCTCAAACAGGGTGGTGCATGGGAACGTGGCATACAGTGTGAGAAAGTGGGCAAGTGACAGGATGACACCGTAGCCCGAGAGTCATCAGCCCAAACTGGTCATGTGGTTCGGTTTACAGTGCTCAGTCCACTTTTCTCTTTAAACCAGTTAAACATTTCTTTGATAACATTAAGAAAAATGAAATTAACCGGATCAGTTTAGTAAGAGTAACTAAATGACTTAAACTGGAGATGTTAAACAAAGACATTTATTTATATTTGTGTTAAAACGGTTTCATCTGAGTGTTTGTGCATCTACTTTAATTAATTTTGGTTTCATGTATTACTACTTTGTATTCCGCATCAAATTTATAATTAACCACCAAGCACGGCTAATGTCAATGACAGGGCGTTCCTACGAATATCTTTAATCATATTTATAGCTTCTTTTTTTTAAACATCAAAATCAGTTTTTGTTTGAATTGAAACATTTAAACCTAGAGTTAAAGTCCTCATTAAAAATATTGTATTTTTCATGTGTAAAATTATACCCAAGATAAAAATTTTAAATGACGT